TCTAAGTTGCCCTTACCCATCTACACCACCATCACTGCATCCTTTGGACCATCAGCACATACTGTATTCATCCTTGCCCTTGGCCTGCGTGAAGCTCATTGGCCCACCAGAAAGAGCTCCTTTTGGTTGCTCCTTGTAACAGCCAGGTGTTGTTGTTGGTTGCTGTCAAGTCAGCTCTGGCTCATGGCAGCCTCACGTATAACAGAATGAAACATTGCCTGGTCCTGCGCCATCTTCAGGATCCTTCCAGCCGAGGGGGCTCATCTTCCAGCACTATATCAGACAGTGTTCTCTTGTGATCTGTAAAGATTTCACTGGCCAGTTTGTGGAAGTAGGTCACCAGGCCTTTCCTCCTAGTCTGCCTTAGTCTGGAAGCTCCGCTGAAACCTGTCCCCCCTGGGGGACTTTACTGGTCTTTGAAATACCAGTAGCATAGCTTCCAGTGTCATAGCAACACGCAACCCACCACATTTTGACAAACTGACAGGTGTTGGGACAACCAGCTACAGACCCTCCAAACGAGCAGTAACTCAGGAGGGGGAAACCCTTTCACTGCTGCCCACATCGGGATGTCGAACTTCCCGGTGCTCCTGTCCTGGAGTTAGTCTGCTTCTTCGCTTAGTTTCTCTTTGGTGGTTCTGTAAAGATACCCCAGAGAGAAGTAAGTTTTTAGTCATAATTTTTCTGTTCCGTTCTACTGGTGTCCTTTGCAGACCGTTGCTATGTCTCTGTCCTGCTATGAGAGCCTGGAGGAGACATCCAATGGCCCCTCAGGCCTCTTCTCCACCTGCTGGGTCCCCTCCGTCCCGCTCACTCAGCCGCCAGCCCTCCCTGCCTCCCGTCCCACTCTGTGGTCAGCAGCTGGCTCCGAATCCCTCAGCGCTCATTCTGCTGCGCCAGCCTGATTGATTGACCCCAGGAGGTAGCCGGTGCTTGGGACTGGGAAGGGGATTCAGAGTTCAGGAGGTAGGGTACCTGCCCTTCCTCTGTCTAACTACCAGGTCTCAAGACTCCGACTGGAGAACATAAATACAGCCCCGGAAGAGAAGGCTGCCGAGCATCTGGGAAACTGGCAGCCTTCCAGAGTCCCCTTGTTCCTCTGTGGCCTTTGGGGATCTCCGTTTGGGGCACGCCCCAGTGCAGGTGCCAGAAAAGGAAGCCTTCCTTCATTACGTGTCTTCCAGATGCTAAATTAGTGCTTGCAGGCACTCTGTGAGGAGGAAGTTCAGTCACATTTTACAGACATCAAGGAGGCTCAGAGAGGCTGAATGACTGGCCCCAGGTTGCACAGCTGATGAGTCACAGGGTTGGAATTGCACCAGACCAGTCGTTCCGACTGCAAAGCTTCTGCTTTTCCGTAACTTCAGTCTGCTTTCCCGCGAGTGCCTTCTCAGCAATGGGAACAACAGTCTCTCAACCGCCCTGAGGCTCCCCACCCTCCCTCTGCTGCCCTCAGGGCTTCTCCTTGTGACCAGGTGTGATCCTGGAGCCTGACTCTGGTACTTCTGTGCCCTCTTCATTCATTTTCGGGTGGGTACAGCTTTTCTGCCTATGCAGGTGATGAGCTTTTTGTCTTAAATTTCTCTTTAGAATTATGTTTTAATAGCTCAAATTATGTAATAAATACAAGGGTCATTTTGTTTTAAAAAATTCAAATCCTATAGAAGCATATGGAGCCCTGGTGGCGCAGTGGTTAAGAGCTTGGCTGGTAACCAAAAAGTTGGCAGTTCGAATCCACCAGCCGCTCTGGGGAAACCCAACAGGGCAATTCTCCTCTGTCCTATCAGGTCACTATGAGTCAGAATCGACTCGATGGCAAAGGGTTTGTAGAAGTATATAGAGGGCAGTGGTGGTTCAGTGATAGAATTCTCACCTTCCATGAAGGAGACCAGGGTTCGATTCCAGCCAATGCTTGTTAAGTACAGCTATCACACGTCTGTCAGTGGAGGCTGCTGTGATGCTGAGCAGGTTTTAACGGAGCTTCCAGACTCAGACACACGAGGAAGAAAGGCTTGGACATCTACTTCTGAAAAATCAGCCAATTAAAACCCTAAGGATCACAACAGTCCAATCCCATTGTACATGGGGTCACCATAAGCTGGAGGCCAACTCACGGCAGCTAACAAGAAGAACGTAAAAGCATACACAGTAACAAGTGATGGCTTAAAAAAAAAAATTATTATGTTAAAATATCTAAATATGTAAAATTTTCCACTTTAACCATTGTTAAGTGTCCAATTCAGTACTAATTACATTGGCAATGTTCTGCAGCCTTCACCACTATGTATGTCCAAAGTTCTTCATCACCGCAAACAGAAACTCTGTACCCATGGATCAGTAACTCCCCAGTGATGGCTTTTTATATAAGTGTTCAATAAGCGTTTGCAGATTGATCCATTTCCCTTCCACTGTTTCCAAAGGGCACTGTCTACTGAAGTTTCCCATAAGACCAGAGCCCCATACTAGAGCCCTTGGCTAAAGACATTGGCTGGCTACTTCTTCCCCATACTCTGCTGGCTGCGTCTCAGGTAGTGACATTTGTAGCCTTGTAAGGAAAGGGCACCAACCCAAAACCAAACCCATTGCCTTCAGGTTGATTCCGACTCATAGCGACCCTATAGTACAGAGTAGAACTTACCCGTTGGGTTTCCAAGGAGCACCTGGTAGATTTGAACTGCTGACCTTTTGATTAGTAGCCGAGCTCTTAACCACTGCACCACCAAGGCTCTACATAGGGAAAGGGGACAGAAAGGAGTTATAATGGAGGGAGGGTGTGCTTCTGAGATGTGGTAACCACTGAGGCCACCAGCACCTCTGAAACTGGCAGGGCTGGACCCGTTAGCAGGTTTTCCACCAGAGAAGCTGGTCATTATGACTCAGCAGGAACCAGGGCCTGTGACCAAAGAGATATCCATTTATATCCTGAGGGAGGGAGTGGAGAGAACAGAGAGGAAGAACCGTATACCCTGTTTCTGTAAGCCTTATGATGTGACAGTCATTTGTCCCCCTCTCAGCAGCAATAGGCAGTAATGTCTAGGGTTGATATTTGGGGCAAGTAGTCGACTAACCATCACGTGTCTGCATACTGGAAGATTACGTGTATACAGGAAGTGTTGGACCTATACCGCTCAGCCATAAAGGTTTCACAGTTCTAGCTACACAGGTGCCCTTCAGCCAACTTGTCATTTCAGTCAGTTGAATGGATCAGTCAGAGTGGTTGTTCCACAACGTACCAAAACCGAAAAACCAAACTTATTGCTGTCGAGTCAATTCCGACTCATAGCTACCCTGTGGGACAGAGTAGAACTGCCCCCACAGAGTTTCCAAGGAGCGGCTGGTGGATTCGAACTGCCAACCTTTTGGTTAGCAGCCAAACGCTTAACCACTGCACCACAACATACAGGCCCTACTGAATTAATTTGTAGTCAATTTTTGGTCCCACAGAAACTGCAAAATAAAAATAAAAGCAGGGCCAAACATTGACAGTAGATGGTAGATTACCCTCCAAAGCAAAGTCCCGGAGATCACATGATAGTCAGAGACACAAGGCTTGAGTATTTCTGGGACTGCTTCCCCGAGCCTCGCCCTGTGTCTTTGCTTACTGCCTTCGCCCAGCAGGCACTTTTCTGGTTAGCACTGACGAGAGTCCAGTTACGTTGGCCGTGTATCTTTTTTACTTAAAAGACCTTCCTTCCCTGGAAGATGGTCCCACAGATCCCCAGCCTTACCAGGGCTTAGCAACTCTCAGGCTAGGAAATCCTCCCTTGCCCCAGACCTGTATGTAGCAAGAGGGATTTACTTAGATTTAAGCCCGTTTCCTCTGGTTTGGGCTTCTTGTTGATGGAACGGCTGTTCATGAGGCTGTGCAACTGCCATGTTCTCCATTGCTGAGATCCAGAGGGGCTGGTGCCAGGGTAATTTTTTCCCCTCCTTTCCTACACTGGAGAGGCTCTCCAAAGGAAGGGCCTGGGTGGGGATGGCGTCTCTGCAGGTTCAAGGGCACAGCTGCAGGCTGTGTTAGTGCTCACGGAAACCCACAGTGGCCATTCCCTTAAGGAGATACTCTAGAATGGATCTCATCTGCATATCTTCATCCCAGACTGATGTCTTGTCCCCAAAACTTTTCTTCCAGCCTTTAGGATGCAGTCCTGGCCTTATGTGGGCTCCGCATCTCTGGTAAAGTCCCCCACAGCCATTATCTCCAGACCCACAGTGCCACCCAGTGGCAAATATAGAGCCAGCCCGTCGCTTCCCAACAGATGGCTTTAATCCGGGATATGAGTCAAGTTCTTTCCGGCTTCCTGCTGACTCTGTGACCCCTCCTTGACCTTAACCTCATTCCCCTTTACAGGTGGCTATGAGCAGTTTTCTTCCGAGTACCCAGAATTCTGTGCCAAAACCAAGGCCCTGGCAGCCATCCCACCCCCGGTGCCCCCAAGCACCGCGGAGTCCTTGGATCTGGGCTGCAGCTCCTGCGGAACCCCACTGCATGACCAGGTAGGTGCCGGCAGGAGCCCCGGCAGGAGCGCCGGCAGGGGCGGAGGGGCTGAGGTTGGAGTGCTGGGCAGTGTGGCCGCAGATGGAGAACCTCCTTTTCAGAACTTCTGCGTTTCTAGGGCTTTGAGTCCAGCACCTCAGTTTGGGGAGAATGTGGTGAACCCTGAGTATCCGGGGGGATGTTAGGTAGGGTCCATTTATTGGAATTTTTCCTCTTCCCTCTTTTATTACCCACTCCTTAAAAAAAAAAAAAAAAAGACGTCACTCCCAGAAGCCCCTGATTTAGCCTCTAGAGTTATGTCAGACAAGGGAGGAGGCTGATAGGGCTGTGAGGGTGTGGCCTGCTGTACAGGAAGCTGAGAGAAAGAACACCCTTCTTCTTTGACAGAGCGGCCCATGGGACCAGCCCCGGTCCACAGCTGTCAGGCTGTACCCCATGTACACACCAACAGTGAATGCCAGACAGACATAAATGTCCCCCAACCCTTCCCAAAGAAAAACAACTCAGGCCACTCCATTTCTTACAAACCCGTCCCCTCCAGCCCTTCCAGTTAGATGGGGAGGGAGTGGATTTATGGGGCACAGCCACTCTGCTTCCCAAATCTCAGATCACTTGAATTGTTCTGACTCAGAAAAAGTAATTTAGGCTGACATTGTCTCATCTAGCCACGTTCCTCCTCTTGTCTGTGAGGCCAGGATGGCATCCACTTCTGCTGTATTAAGGGAAGACCTATCAAACCAAACAAGTACCTAAGCCACACGACAAACAGCTTGATTATTAACATATGTACACTTTAAAAAATAAAATAAAATTATACTGTGTTTTCAATGAAAGTTTACACAGCAAACTAGGTTCCCATTTAACAATCGCTACACAAATTGTTCAGAGACATTGGTTACGTTATTCACAATGTTTTCACATTCTCATTAATTCCCTTCTGGGTATTTCGCTTCTAGTAATCTCGTTTCTTTGGCCCCTTACCCTTCATCTTTGCTCTACTGTAACCGTTGACCATTTGGTCTCATATTGATGATTTTTTAAAGGTGCGAAGTACTTACTGGTAATATTTTTTATTTTATGAGCCAATCTGTTACTTAGCTAAAATGTGCCCTCAAGGGGTAATTTCAGTTCAGGGTTTATGGACTATCTCAGGGTGATTGTCTCGGGGAGCTCTCTAGTCTCAACTGGTCCAGTAAGTCTGGACTTTTTAAGAATTTGAGCCCCATCCCACATTTTTCTTCCCTTCTATCAGGATTCATCTGTTGTAGCCCTGATGAGAACAGTCATTAGAGATGGCCGGGCACCAACTAGTTCTTCTGGTCTCAGGGTAGATTGTTAGTCCTGTAGACTAGTTTTTTCTCTGAGTCTTTGGTTTCCTTCTTTCTCTTTTGATTCGGACGAAATGAGAACGATAGTTCTATCTTAAATGGCTGCTTGCAAGCTTTTAAGACCCCAGATGCTACTCACCAAATTAGGATGTAGAACATAAACTTTGTGATCTATATTATACCAGTTGACCAAGTTGTCCCATGAGACTATGGTCCTAAGGCTTCAGACCCAGAAAACCAATCCTGCAAGTGTAAACTCTTTTGTTACAAATGGTGCAGGAAGGCCAGCATTCTTTATCTGCTGCTTTCTTTATCACTAAGAAGGTGGGCTGCTTGGACCAGCAGGTGGGGCCAATAAGACTTCATCTGGTTCTTAGCTTCTCTGCTTATGGGCAAAACAGAGGGTAAAGGCTAGAGAAGTCCTGCTGGGCCCATCCAGAAGGATAATGGGGAACCCTGGCAGGGCCATGCCTAGCAGGCATTCTCCCCAGGACCTGTGAAAGTTTATCTCAGACTGGCTTCCCTCTCTCTGTACCAAGCAGCCCAGCCCTCTTCCTGGTTGCCCCCGAGTCATGTTGCTCATGGGCCTTTGTTTTCCCTTTCTGGTGCAGGGGGGTCCTGTGGAGATCCTTCCCTTCCTCTACCTCGGTAGTGCCTATCACGCTGCCCGGAGAGACATGCTGGATGCCCTGGGCATCACAGCCCTGTTGAACGTGTCCTCGGACTGCCCCAACCACTTTGAAGGACACTATCAGTACAAGTGCATTCCAGTGGAAGATAACCACAAGGCGGACATCAGCTCTTGGTTCATGGAAGCCATTGAGTATATCGGTAAGTTGGCCCTGCCCTTGGGTTATTAGGTCAGAGGGCTGGGGTCAGGGAGGACCAGAGGGCACCACTTGTAACCAGCATGTTGAAGGAGGGCCTTGGGAGGCACTGTGTCTGGGCCATGCCCATTTCCTCTCTTCCTCACCCATTGGGTGTTGTGTCGGGGCAGCGAGAGGAAGATGAACTCCCGTACCCTTGCTGTTAGCTTACCTACCTTTCCTTTGCATGTCTCCATGTGTCTAGATGATAAGACTTTCTGGATGGGGAGAAAGACAGAAAAAAGAAAGGGGGGAGGGGTGAGAATTAGGTCATTGTTCTTGTTTCTGCAAATGGACGTCCTTGAATATATGTAACTAGTTCATAGTACGTGTGTTTCCCAAGTGTAGTGCTCTTGTTTGGTTAAATCTCAAAAGTACCCTAGAACGGATGGGCCTCTAGAGTCCCTCACATATGCCCTGTCCTCCAACCCTTGCCCACCGCCACGTTTGGTTTATGCCCTCTGGTGGGGGGCCAGGAGCACCGAGGGCACTAATTGTGTCATGCTCTCTGCCCAGATGCGGTGAAGGACTGCCGTGGGCGGGTGCTGGTACACTGCCAGGCAGGCATCTCGCGCTCTGCCACCATCTGCCTTGCCTACCTGATGATGAAGAAGAGGGTGAGGCTGGAGGAGGCCTTTGAGTTTGTCAAGCAGCGCCGGAGCATCATCTCACCCAACTTCAGCTTCATGGGGCAGCTGCTGCAGTTCGAGTCCCAGGTGCTGGCCACGTCCTGTGCTGTGGAGGCTGCCAGCCCCTCGGGGCCCCTGAGGGAGCGGGGCAAAGCTACCCCCACCCCCACCTCGCAGTTTGTCTTCAGCTTCCCAGTCTCTGTGGGGGTGCACTCGGCTCCCAGCAGCCTGCCGTATCTGCACAGCCCCATCACCACCTCCCCCAGCTGTTAGGGCCGGAGCCCCGGAGCCCGGGAACCCCCAAGCCGAAGTCGGCTTTCCGCAGAGGTGGGTGGGCCGCATGTGGCAGCAAGTCAAGACTGACCAGCAGGGGGCAGGTGACCAAGCTCCTTCCTCATCCATTTCTCCTTGGCCGTCCTCGGGGGCCAGCTAGAATGGCAATAAGGACTTTGAATACCTAGTAAAAGCAGACAACAAAACACTCCGACTTAGAGCAATAATGGCTGCCTCAGCAGCCGGGGAGACCTTGCTTTGGTGTGTGCATCAGTTTTACGTTTAAGATAGAAGTTTCTTACCTCATTTTTTTAAGCAGCAAGGCTTGAAGTTATGAAATCCGCAGATCCTGGCAAATGTGCTCAACCAGTTTTATGGGGGGGAGGGGGACGGGCAAGGGATGAGAAGCAAACCTGTTTCCCAGAAGTGCCTGGATTCCTGTTCTTGCTCCATTTTTTGTTGTTGTTGTTGTAGTTACAGGAATTTTGTTTTTTTAAAAGAAAATTTTTAGGACATGGTTTTCGTTTCTAAGTCATCAACAGTGGATAGTTATGCTTAATAATAAATAAAAGTATTTATTAAGAATTTCCTCAGAGTATGTAAGTACAGGAGTCTAGTGACAATGAATTCAGAGTATATTTATGTTGCTGTCAAACAACAGAGCACAATCGCAGGCAGCCGTCAGCGCAGTTCGGAAGGTCATGGTTTCGTGTACGTGTACACAGATGAGCGTGATCACCAACTTGCATTTGTTGCCACGAGAGGCAGGGGCAGTGGGAGAAGGAAGAGAGGAAGGGACTCCTTTTTAATTCCTTTCAGAGCTGGTCCCTGGGCACGTAGACCACTGAAGCTGTTTAAACCACAACTGTATAACCTTCTCTCTCCAATGATGACAAATTCGATTCGGTGGTGGGAGCATTTTTTCCCTAGCCCTGTGTCTAGGGCTCATGTATCATCTGTGATAAATGCCATATCCTATAAGGTGCTCCTGAAAAATTGGGTGCAATTCTGATTTTCCTACAGTGAATCATTTGGCATGGCCATTGGGGAAACCAGATAACTAGAGATAAACCTGAAATGAATCCTTTTGAAAGTTGAAGTACCTGCTTTTCTCTTTTGCATAAATGCGAGGTTTTCATTTTAGGAGGTTTACTTGAAGTATGCCAACAAATTCTTGTGTTCTTAAAATTTCTGGTTTAAATGAATACTTTTATGTGCCCTCTTTTGAATTAAAAGAGGGGAGTGGACACCACATTTAGGTCCCCTTGAAGTTCTAGAGGGGCAGGAGAGCGCAGTGAGGTGAGGCGGGACAGACTCCTTGCCTGGGGCTGGCTGCTGGGTTCAGTGAAGTGGAGGTGGGCACTCAGGGGCCATTTTAGAATCCTTTCTTGGGACAATGCCTTTTTAAGAGGCTTTCCAAATGGAAGAATGGCTTTGGAGGGAGAAGGATATGTTTTCTGTGGGGTGGGCTTGGGGGGAGGGAGAGGGAACAAGCTACATGTTAACTTCATTTGTAGTATTGTGGAATAGTGTTGTTATGGAGTGTCAGATTAGAGGTAATTGCAAACTTGTCTAGAAATGAGAGCATGTGTTTTTTAGCCCTTTGAGAGTCTAGATCTAAACAAACATTCTCGCTCACCTACAAATAACTTCAGGCCTCAGTGTCACAATAGTCTGGAATGCTCTCTCTCACCCGAGTATCCCAGATAGGACCAGGCTCATTACACTTCCTTCCATGAACCTGTGTGGGCATCATTAGTCCTGCCTCTTTCAAGCCCCACCTCTGGGTGAGGCCAGTGTTCCCGCTTCCTGCTTTTAGAAAAGCCAGAGGCTGCCTCCTGCCCCTGGGAGCTGCTTGGCTCAATAGTTAAGGGTGAGGCGTGGAGGGGTTGGGGGCCTGGACAACGGACCCATTTAGAAACAGCACAGTCGGACATTCCCACTTTCTCCTTGATTCCTGGAAGTCGCTTCGTGTTTCGTGATGAAGGAGGTAAGATGGATCCTGCAGCTGAAAAAGCTGTGGGTTCCCAACAGCAGATAAACTAGGGAGGGGGGCTGCCTGGGGGGACGGAAAGGAGCCGGGAGAACAGATTCACTTTTTATAGAATGAGAGTACGTTTGCCAAAAACTAAGCATAATGCTTTCCCAGATTGGAATCTGACCACGTGGATGGTCGGAACGCAGGACTCGTTCCAAGTCTGTCTTTCCTCAGCTTCCCAATTTGAGTCCTCTACCACAGTGTCCAGTACTATTTATAAAGCCATTTTCTCTGTACTTGGTAACGGTGTGGGTCCCAATCCTGTTAGAAATAGACAGGAAATTGGCTTGATTGGAAAAGGGGACTTCGTTGTCTCCATCAGGACCCCCTTTGATGACTTGGAGTAGCTCTAAGGAAGACACCACTGCAGGGTACACCCGAATGGTCAGTGAGTTTCAACAGGCACCCCGCCCATGAAGTGATTTCTGGTGATGTGAAGCTCTCTAATGCCCAGAGGGCACTGCTACAGTCCCCAGTTATCAGTGTTGCCATTGGCTATGACAGGCAGTGGGTTCCCTGGGTATTCTGTGGAGACCCAGGAATACCGCTGATTGCCTCCTGGACTCTCGTCTGTCCAAGGGCGTTTTTGGAGGAGCACGGAGGGAGACAGGCCCGATGTTCCCACAGAGCAGGATTAGGCTAACGCCAGGGGTGAGTGGATGGCTGAGCGCGCCATCTTCACTCATCCTCACCCGAGGCCCTTTGGCTCAGGTGTTCATTCCAGCCAGATTCCAGAGTTCTCAACAAAGCTGAGAAGCCATGAGAAATATTTTTTTAGACAGGGGGAGGGAGGACAGTTGATTCCAATGTGAGGGGAAGGGGCTGGAGATTGGGGCTGGCCAAGGCTCAGTGAGCCTGGTATTAAAGCAGTGGTTCACCATGGCTGCCCATGAGAGTCAGCCAGGAGCTTTTAGAAACCCTGACTATCCCGGACCGAGTAAGTCAGAGTTTCTGGGAGTCGGACCCAGGCATCAGGATGTTTCAAATCTCCCCAAGTGCTTTTGATGTGCCCCCAAGTTTGGGAAACTGCTGTGGTTCCTGCATGGCACAGTGCTGTTGGTGGCTGGCCCTTGATGACACAGAACTATCTTGTCTCACAGAAGCCACAGGATTTGTCACTGGCTCAGCATGGTCCCAGCCCATCCGAGGGACAAGATGGTTTATCTCGGGAGTTCCTCAAGGCGGGTGAGACCCCCTGAGTGGGGGGGGTACCCTGTCCTGCTCCCTGGGGAGTATCGTTAAGTAACTGAATACAGTGGCTAGATATCGATGTTTTCCTTGAAATTCCTTATCTATCAAGTTACGATGGAGAATGTCACCTCCTTGAAAGTGTCCCCTCTCCCCCAAGTCCTCTGCCCTTCCTTAGAGTTGGAGACATACAAGGAAGAGACTTCTTATGGACAGAGCAATGCAATACTTGTAACTTCTGTAAATAGCCCCATCTTTCAGAGTGATGTCATTTCTACGTTCGATATGCCTATGTTTCTGTAGGATGTGTATCGGTTAGGGGACTTTTGTCGTTGTTGTTGTTGCTTAGTTTTGTTTTTTAGAAAACTCAACACGTCTGTTTTTATTTATTGCTTGAAAAAGATCATTTGAAGAAAAATAAATACATTTTCAACCACCTCTGGCTTGTTTTGTCCTTTCCTTGAAAACCATCCCGCTCCTGACTTGGAAGGGAAGAAAGAAGAGCTGGGCCATTCAGTCATCTAGCGTGATTAGTGACATGTGCGTGGGACGGGCCAGTAATATCGGTCAGCCCGTTTTTGTTCCCTGAACACCCCTCAGGGAAAATGCGAGGAAGAGGCTGATACTAATGGGCCTGATTTCTCCAGTAGCTGAGAGATCGGTGGGGAAGAATTGGATGATAGTAAGAAACAGACAGGGCCCTTCATCTGAGACTCTGCGATGTGCCCAGCTCAGGATACAGAGAGAAGGACAGCTCCTCCACCAGAGAGGGGCCAAGGAATTCGGCTGCAACAGAAGAATGTACAGGAGTTACTACTTCGAGGACACTTTTCCCTGTTGGGACGAGAGGGTCCAGTCTGGCTCACAGAATCAGGAGATTTTACTAATCTTATGTTTTGTTGGGATCATGGAAATAAGCAGTATGTTTCAAGGTCAGATTGAGGACATAAACTGACAAAAGTTGCATCACATAGGTTGGTGGTTCCCCAGTGCTGATTGATGGGCCACTTGCATCAGATTGCATTGGTACAAATTTCCCAAAATGAAAACCATATTAGTAAACATGCATTCCCACTGTATCATGGTTATTTAACATTATTCTGAAAGTAGTAAACCCATTGCCGTCAGGTTGATTCCTACTGGTGGCGACCACACGTGTTAGAGTAGAACTGCTCCATAGGGTTTTTGGTTGTAATCTTTATGGTAAGGAGCCCTGGTGGTGCCGTGTTTTAAGTGCTCAGCTGCTAACTGAAAGGTCAATGGTTCGAACCCACCAGCTGCTCCACAGGAGAAAGATGTGGCAGTCTGCTTCCGTAAAGATTATAAGCCTTGAAAACCCTATGGGGCAGTTCTACTGTGTCCTATAGGATCACTGTGAGTCAGAATTGACTTGATGTCAATGGGTTTTAATCTTTATGGAAGCAGATCTCCAGACCATTCTTCCACAGAGCTGCTGGGTGGGTTCGAACTGCCAACTTTGAGGTTGGCAAAGAAATAAGGCACATATAATTTGGGAAATAGGAGGCCAAATTATTTCCAAATGATGTGTTTCTGGAAAACACAAGGGAATCAACCAAAAATCTATCAGAAGCAAGAGAATACAGTAAGTGGTGGCTCACAAAATTTATATAAAAAATCAATAGCTTTCTAATTATGAAAACAATAACCAGTTAAAATAAAAGTAGTAGGAGATCCCATTTACAATAGCAACTTAAAGAGAAAATGGCTACAATGAACTTTACCAGAAATGAGCAGGACCTATACAATGGACCTGACCAAGGGATGGATTAGAACACTTGAAAAAAAGCCAAAAGACATACTGGTACTGTATTCTTGGATAAAAAGACTCAGTGTTGAAAAGATACCTCTCCATAAATTAGCCTATACACGTTCCTATACATTTAACATGATCTCAATCAAAACACCAACAGGATTTAAAGGGGAACACGAAAAAAATGATCCTGAAATTCACCTGGAGAAATAAATACACAGAAATAGCCAAGGAAACCAAAAATAACAGAGGGAAGGGAATCACAAGGTGTGGGGAGGGGGATTTATATCCTTCAGTACTGTGCATCAACCACTGTTATGATAAAAATAGCTTTAAATTTTTTTACAGGAGATTATTTTAAAAATTGAGATTCTTGGGCCCACCTAAGACTGAGTCAGAGACTCTACAAACTCCCCCAAGTGATTCTGATTTACAACCCCGGTCAGGAATGAATGTCTGACACAGGTTTTATCTGCTTGCATCTGTTCCCCTTCCGTTGAT